GGAGTTGACTTAGTTGACTAAGCACTGACTAAGAATCATGGTCTCCTATTTGGAAGCTGGCTTGCCTAAGAGAATCCGGTACTAGAAACCTGAATGAAAGATCTTTCCTCCAGACAGATATTGAAGCTAACTTAAAGACAGCCAAGGCTAGCTTTAAAAAAGTTATATACTTCCAAGGTACTCCAGCCACTAACATTTATATTCTAAATAGTGTGTTTCTGCTTTTTCCCCATTTCCTTATGGTTAGGTCTGTTTTCCCAGATCAGTGATACAAAAGACCATTGGAAAATCTCACATGGAGGCTACCTTGAGTTTCTTGGATGCTAGAACATAAATTTGAGCACCATGTTTGCTATTTTTTAAGTCACTTTCCTCGATGGAAAGATTTGATGTCTCTATCAGATGTGATTCAGGAATAAATCTAAAATTTTGTTGGCCAGTAGTACACAGGTGAAACACAGAGTATTAGGCACTATAGGTACCCAGTGAGAATAGTGTAGCTAATTTAAATCTAATCATTTTTTTTTAAAGCTGGCAAGCTTAGATTTTGGGGAGGATGGGAAGAGCTGAAAGGTAAGATGTAAAAAAAAATCCCCAAACATACCATTTTACCTGTCCATTAAGCTCTTCTCACACATTATGTGGAAATTCAATTTACCAACCAAGATAGATGCATAATCAGTCTTTACTTCTGAAGTCCGTAGATGTGTTCCAGAAAATGCTTGTTGATACTTCTTAGGATTTGCATTTTGCATATTACCAAGGATTGCAAACATTAATTGAAAGTTACACCTTATAATGAAAAGGGTGGACTTGAAACATCTTTTTAGTAAAGGCCGTGTTAATCTAGCAACCTTTAAGGTCTTCTGATCTAGCCTTGATATGGTCAGTAAATGCTTTCTTTCTTTCTTTCTTTCTTTCTTTCTTTCTTTCTTTCTTTCTTTCTTTCTTCTTCTTCTTCTTCTTCTTCTTCTTCTTCTTCTTCTTCTTCTTTGAACGAACATTCGTACGTCGAAGTGTTTCGGTGCAGCTGGTGGCTCGAGCCAGATAACAGATAATCAGAGTTGGAAGGGACCTTGTAGGTCATCTAGTCCAACCATCCACCCAAACAGGAGACCCTACACCCACTTCTGACAAATGGCAGTCCGATCTCTTCTTGAAAGCCTCAAATGATGAAGCTCCCACAACGTCCGAGGGCCACTTCTGTTCCATTGGTTGATTGTTCTCACTGTCAGAAAGTTTCTCCTTGTTTCCAGGTTAAATCTCTCCTTGTTAAGTTTCCATCCATTATTCCTTGTCTGGCCTTCGGGTGACTTGGAAAATAACTTGACCCCCTCCTCCTCTCTGGGGCAGCCCCTCAAATATTGGAAGACTGCTATCCTGTCTCCCCTAGTCCTCTTCCTTAGACTAGCCATGCCCAGTTCCTGCAACCGTTCTTCATATGTTTTAGTCCCCAGTCCCCTAATCATCCTGGTTGCTCTTCTCTGTACTTTTTCTAGAGTCTCAACATCTTTTTTTATAATGTGGTGACCAAAACTGGATGCAGCACTCTAGGTGTGGTCTTACTAAGGCTTTATAGAGTGGTATTAGTACTTCCCTTGATCTCGATTGTATCCCTCTGTTAATGCAATTTAGGATTGCATTAGCTTTTTTGGCTGCCGCTGCACACGGCTGGCTCCTATTTGAGCCTAGTTTCACCCAGTCTATATGTATTGCTAGAGCCAATTGCTTTTAGAAGGTGCGAAGCAAAGTGTTGCGATTCCTTCCTCGGTAAGATGTACAGAAGTGATAGAAGTATTAATTCCAGGCGAGCAAAGCAATTTTCGTTATCTCAAGAAGCAGGACAGGATGTTTAATAGGGGGAAGAAAAAACACCCAGATTTTGCAGCAATGCTGATATGAAAACCTCCCTACCAGCAAGATGGGGAAAAAAGAAGTGATGGATAGCACCACACGATGAATAGGCGTAGGAGTGAATTCTCAGGATAATCTGGAGTAATTTGTCCTCCCGTTTCCAGGTCCAACTTCGCTTGGTGCTAAACCTTAGCCGAAATTACATTTGCTTTTTTCTCTGTAATGTGTTTTTTTTGGGGGGGGGGGTGGATTAGCGTTTATGTAAAATACTTGGCAAGCCTGATCCGGCATATCGCAGAGCATATGTTCTTTCAGCCAATTCTTGCTAAGTAATTGAATCAGCCCCGGGGGTCTATTTTTTTTTTCTTTAAAAAAAAATTCCTGACCTTTTGTTCAAATTTATGTGGCGTTCTTTCTGGGACTAGAACGAGGATTTGGGACAGATGGTTCTCTCTCGTCAAAACTTTCTTGTCCTTGTTAAGGGATGGGAAGGAGAGATATCTTTGAACTGAGTTCAAATCCTGGGAAAATTAAGAAGCGTGTCCCCTGGTAGTTTCCTTTGCAACAAATGGAATTGATTTATCTTTTTTTTTCAGAATGTTCTCTCTATTTGTTTTTATTTCTCAACTTGGCCTATAGCCATATATCTTTCTGGTGGTCTGTCATTGAAGTATTAATCAAGGCAATCTCTGGTTTACAAAATCAAACGTTGTTTAAAATTGCCACTTACTATAGCTGAGTGGCATCTCACATGAAGAGTTGCAAATATTTCTTTCCTTCCTCCTCTTATCTCTTCCTCCTTCCCTTCCTTGATTCTCCCTTCCTTATCTGACTCTTCCTTCCTCCGTCCTCATCTCTCTCTCCTTCCTTCATTCCTTCCTTCCTCCTCTTTAATGTCAATCAGTTGAACTGACAAAGATGATGTCAAATTGCTTGAACCTTCTTTTTTTCCTCTTTTTAAAATACGGTTTTCTGAGAAGAACCCTGATTTTTGAAACCATAAAACTAAAATAATTGTGCTCTCTACCTCTCCCGCCCTCCCCCCATCTCTCTCTCTCTCTCTCTCTCTCATGAGAGATTATTAGTGAATTCTACAGCTCCCAATAGAAGAAACCAGATGTACATGTTAGAATAAGCTTCCCAAAAGCATCAGAAATTGTCCTTGAAAAGAAGCCATTCATATCCTCAGTTTTAATCTAGTTTCTTCCCAGGCTTGTTAAAACAGCAGCATTATAATTTCCCCCAAAAACGGACAGCTTCTTTAAAGAGGGAGATAAACTATCCAAATGGTTTATAAAATTATGCAGAGCATAAATAGAAGGTTTTCTCACTGTTGTAACTGCAGAACTTGAAAAAATGTTCAACAGAAGACTTTGGAGAAAAACCAAAGATATCATTCTTCAGATAAATTGGTGTAGTTCTGGGCCAATCCGGCCAGCCTCTACTCTGTAGTTGAGTTCACATATTTACATGGTTTGTTGGGTCTGGCATTTTGTGTGAGTCCAGCATTTGTAGTTTGTAAAGCATGGATTGTATTCCACTCCACCATGTTGAACCAACTTAGTCAATGCTGGCTTGTTGGAAGAAACACAGTTCAGCATCCAGCCCCATTTATTGGTTCTCAACATCCCAATTAATATGGGATGATCTCATGAGGATAAAGGCTGCCTTATTCTGAGCTGCGTAGATCAGATCCACTAATTTTTGTATTCTTAAAGTAGGAGAAATTATCTCTCTTGTATGCCATATCTTTGAAAGAGCTCAGCTCTAGCTCCCTATCAATCAGCCAATATCAAGCTAATTCTACTTTGGCTAAGTATTCTTTTCGAATGTCCTTTTTCTAATTTCCTCTTGCATCCAACAAGGCTCAAGTGAGATTTTCCTCGCTCGCTGAGGTGGTGGCCAAAGTAAATAAGCCCATTATGGTAGTTGGAATGAAGAACAGAGTTGGAAGGGACTATGGAGGTCATCTAGTCCAACCCCCTGCTCAAGCAGGAAACCCTACATTCTGGACAAATGGCTGTCCAGTCTCTTCTTGAAAATATCCAGTAATGGAGCATTCACAACTTCTGGAGGAAAGTTGTTCCGCTGATTAATTGTTCTATTTACATCTATCTATCTATCTATCTATCTAGAAATTATCTGTTCTCTAGAAATATCTTTATCCTGCAACAGCATCTTCCTTAAGAAGAGCTGGATTTATTAGCACTAATTATGCAAATTTACTACATCTCTATCAAGGGGATTCATTTGCGTGCACAATTCCGCTTCCTTCCTAATGAAGTTATCATGTCCTTAAACGTCAGCTTTGATCTGTGTGGATCCTTGTTGGTTCTTCCCTGTCCTAATTTCCAAAGCTCTGAAATTTCAAC